CAATTTTTTGAAATGATTTTGTAATAATTTTAAAATACTACAAAAATACATTTAATACATCAAAATGTTTTTATTATATTTTTGCTATTATTTTGTAATTATATTGTATCTAGGTCTATAAAAATAACTCAAAATAATATCACAATAATTTTTTAATGTTTTTGTTATTATTTTATTATTATAATATAATTAACTTTGATATTATTTTAATATTTTAATCTCAAAAATACCTTAAATATATCTTGATATATTTTAATAATTTTACAAAATAATTGCACAATTGTTTTGAAAGCCATTGTATCTAGGTTTATAAAAATATTTCAAAAAATTGGCTATTTTTAGTAAAGTTGTTAAATATATTTAGCAAAAATCCATAAAAAAGTGATAATCCTTATAAAAGGATTATCTGCATTTTATAAGGCTTTTGGTATAGCGTTTACAGCATTTTAATAATTTAAAAATAAAAAATATATTTAAAATGAGTATACAAGAATTATATTATATGAGATTATATAACAATTTTGAATATAATAATTTTAAAATAATTTTATAAAGATAAATTATATAACAATTTTTAAATTGAATAATAATTACTTTCGCTTGTATAATCATTATTTGTTTATTTATTCAATAATAGCAAATTTTACATATTATTTTAATTACTAGTATACATACAAAGAACTGAAATAATAAAATTACTGCTAAGCTATATAATAAGCTATACTATTAATTTTCGTTTTTAATTTTATGTTCTTAGATTTCAACGTTATCTGCAATATCAGTTTCACACAGACTCGGAACACTGATATTTTTTGTAATGAAATTCATATCATCTTTTTTTACTTTGTCCAATACATCTGTTATATAATGATGCTTGTCATTTCCGTTAAAATAATGTTCCAAATGTATGATTATGGCTTTTCTTGTAAAAATCTTTAATGCTTTGTAGGAGCTTTCGTGTTGGTCAAACTTGAATGTAATTGTGACATCCAGAATTCCAATAAACTTTTTATAACATAATTATCAACAAATTTAACTAAAGCTGAATTAGTTGGCATCTCAGTTAACCTGTTAAAAAACAATAAATATATATTCATCAGTACCATAAACAAATATTAATATACAAACTAATGCTATAAAAAATTTAAATAATTACTCAAGTTGTTCTACCATCTCGCTAACAAGTGCTGTTAATTTCGTATTGAAAGTATTTCTCCATGAATTGAAATTATTTAATGATTTTTGAATCAAAGTATTTGCACCTGTAGAATTAACTACATATTCAGACCAAATACTTTGAATGATATACTGAATGACGTTCTTTGAAGAAATACGTGTATGTAAAAACAAGCATTTACATTCGGTCAAATAATTCTTTTGATTCCTAGTTTCATCTACATTTGATTTATTTTTCTAAAAATAAAAAATTTTAAACAATGAATTAATTACTTATAAAATATATCTGATAATATTTAATCATTAAAATTTACCTGAAAATTCACAACATTAGTGGATAATGGATTAATTTTAATAGGCGCAGGAATTGATTCCACAATATCTTTAAATTGATCCCATAAATTTTTGTCTTTAACGAAGGTATTGATGAATCCTTTTACCAATCTGTCTACCTTTGCATCAGCAACTTCTCCTAATGTTATAACATTATCATCTAAATCAATTACAACTTCATCTTGTGCGCCTTGTTGAATTTCACTTTGTTGATTTTCACTTTGTTGATTTTCAGAATTAAGATTAATAGTTACATCCGGTTCTTCATTATCATATGTATCGCTATCAAAATCAGCAAGATCAATGGACTGAGATCTTTCAGGAGTATTATTTTTAGGATTATGAACAGCTCTTTCAGGGGTATTGTTTTTAGGATTATGAACAGCTCTTGCAGGAGTATTAATTTTAGAATTATGGGATGATGATGCAGAAGTATTAGCTATAGAATTATGGGGTGATGATGCGGGAGTATTAGTTATAGAATTATGGGGTGATGATACGGGAGTAGAATTATGAGATGATGATGTAAGCGAGTTGTCATTTTCAGAAGTTGATGCAGAAATGTTTGCTTTAAATGATGGTTTTGTAAGAGTTAATGATTTTGTAAAAGTTGAAAAAGATTTCGGTCCAGTAATTTTAGTAGAGTCGGATGGTGAAATAACAGAAGTGGACGATGATCCAGTAATTTCAGGAGCATCAGAAGTAATAGATTTAGATTTACTTCTGGTAATTATTTTTCTTTGTCTTGATTCATAACTATCATCTTCAGCTTGTCTCTTTTTTGCCATTTATTTAAAAATAAAATTTTTTAAAATTTATAAACTCGTATCAAATAATTTATCATATATTTACCATTATGTTTATTAGGTTTAGGAATAAATCACGTAGCGCTGGCCATTTCTTCTAAAAATTATAAACAAATTATTAGAAGAAAATTGAGAAATCATTATTATTTAGATCAAATAATTTACCTTCTCTTCCACTATTATCAATAAAAATACAAAGTATAGGTGATTCGCTAATAGATTTTAAAAAATAAGCTACATTAATATAACCTTACAATAAATTATATGTATTTATTAATTTGTAATTTACCATGTAAAATATTTTGGGTATTGCTAAATATCACCAGTGGTGATCGTCACTACATGTAAAATATTTTTTGAATTTTCAAAAATTTTTGACTGAGATATTATTCTAATTATAATATAAATATCATTACTATATGTAAATTTATGGGTAGAACAAGTTTGCCTTAGATTATAAAGGCTGTTGTTTAGATAGTTTTTGAGAAAAATAGGAAAGTTTGATTTTATAAGCAAAATACAATTTTTTGTTTTAAAAAAGATTTTTTTTAGTCAAATTTTTGAAATTTTAGTGTGATTAGTATCTACTCAGGTTTGTTTTACACATTTATTATTTAAATTGAAATTTTTGAAAAAAAATTTACGATGTGTTTTTTAACTCTGGCCAAAATTATAATTTTCGGCCAGAATTAAGTGGTGTGGTGACGATCACCACTGGTGATATTTAGCAATACCCAAATATTTTTATTCTTTAAATTTCGTTTCATGATTATTTGTAAATTGTAAACTATTTTACACTATTTATGTAAATAAATTAACATTCTGATATGACGATCAGCATAGTAAAAAATAGATGTTGGTTAAATTATAGTAAAAAATAGTTAATTTAATATAACATACTCACGTTATTTTTTTAAAAATTTTTTTAACTCACGTCATTATTTTAAAATTTTTTTTAACTCACGTCATTTTTTTAATTTTTACCCACATTATTTTTTAATATTATGATTAATTTGATTGATTTTTATGATGAGTTATATAAGAAGAAGAACGTCAAATAACACAATTTTTAAAAATATTGGTATTAGAAGACGTACTAATATCTCTCATTCTTGTCAAAACTTTGTTCCGGCTTCATCAAGATTTAACAATAATAACAGTGCTAGTAATACTAGTAAAACTAATAGAACTAAAAAACCTTTTACTGACAGGTCGAATTTAGAAATACAAAAAGAACGACATGTACAGAATGAAGAAAATATGACACAACATAATGATTATGACTTCTTTGAAAGCGAAATACAAGATATCGAAGAAGAAAGTATTATACAAATTGAAGATAATACTATAATACAAGATGTTGTTGGTGAGAAGAATAGAGTACGAGATAATAATTCTAACGAAGACATTGGGTGCATTATCGAAACCAGAAACTCTCACGTAAAATACGATAGTGATTATGCACCATATTTTCCAAATGCGACAATTTTCATGCTTTTTACATAGTGTACAAAGCATATGATAGGTATTATAAAGTAATTTATATATTGTGACAAATATGATAGTATTATTAAAATATATTTAAGGTGTCACAGCGTATAGAATTAGTAAAAATTCTGAAACACCCAGAATTTAAATGTAACAAAGTACCAAATAATCTTGCCTCATTAAAGCGATATCGAAATGGATTGCCATTATTACCAGTCAAAAGTCATTCTGTTAGAATTGATTCAAGACAGACACCATCTACGTCTAATTCACGCAAAGATGCATATTATTTTTCAATATTAGATCATATTAAAACGATTTTAAGTAATCCCTCTTTAAAAAATAATATGTATTTTGGACCCGGGATTGAAGTTAGTACCAATAGGACAGAATTTTGGCATGGTACTCTATGGCAAGAATCACCACTTTTCGGCTGTAAAAAAATGACAATTAATAATAGTAAGCCAAGTTTTTATTAAAATACGTAATATTAATATTAATATTAATAATATTTTATACTATTGATAATTAATATTTTATTAGTAATGTTTTTTACGGGAGAATTTATTCAATATAGAATAGAGTCTAATACAAAAATCGGTAGAATTCTTGCTTTTGTAACGGATAAAAACAATAATACAAAAATCAAAGTTCAACAATTTTTATATAATTACGAATTACCACGTAATTTTCACAGTGCAGCTCGTGATTCAACAAAGTTGCGGATGACTGATTGGGTAATCATGATTTCAGAATCTAGGATTATTACAAGAATTTCAGTATGGCTCAAAGATAATCAAGAATCCTCTTCTTATGATTACAAAGTTGATGAGATTTTGTACAAATTCAATAATCGTTATATGATGAGACCAATAAAATTTCGTCATTATCATCCGAGTGAATATATTAAATTACATCCATCACCACTTGGAATACAAACATTGAAAATTTTTATTGATTTATATTTTGACGACTTTGGTACCTTCAGGACATCCTATTACAGTTTGGGTGGTTTATATGTTCAATTTGGAAACTTTCCTTTAAAGTTGCGGCAACAATTAAAAAATCATTTTTTAATTGGTTTAGTTCCATTCGGAAGTAATTTTGAAGATTTTATAAGGCCATTCATCAATGATTTATTAATACTTCAAAAAGGTCTTTTTATGAAAATTGGTAATGAAGAATATTGGATCAGTGGTGGCTTAGGTGTAGTGACAGCTGATCTTCCCTAAGGGAATGATCTTGCAGGCATTTTAAGACATAATGTTAACCTGGGCTGTAGATCTTGTAAATCTACTAAAGAAGAATTGACATTATTAGATTACGATATTCAATTGCATAGTCGTTATCATCATATTACAAATGATGAATTTCTGGAGATCTAACAATGTGGAAATCGAAGTACAAAAATCACAAATGCAAGATCTTTTGGTTTGTATTTAAAACCTAATATTCTTGATGAACTATTTAGGGATCGTCATATCCAAACACCACAGGATCCTTTTCATATGATGGCTGGATTAGGTGGAAGGCTTTTGGATTCAACTTTTGAAATCTTTACTAAAGAAGGTCTTGAAAATTTTATTATAACATGGAAGAATTTCGAGATGCCAACAACGTGGTCGCGCCAACAAAACCCTGTTACATATTGACATAGTTATTTTATGTCTGATGTTTTAAGGTTAACAATGATATTTCCTTTTTTATTAAAAAGGTTTCTTGATAATACCATAGTAAAAAGCGAAGTTATTCAAGAAATCAAAAGTTAAAACTCTTTGCAATGAGCTTCACAAGCAGTTTTATTGATCAAACAATGTTGGATTAATTTTGCACTTTTAGCAAAATTAGTTTTTACATCCACATTAAAGAGTACCGATTATATAAGAATTGATCAACTAACAAAAACTTTTTCTGATGTTGTATTAAAAGTAAGGATTTAATGATTTCTTAACGGATTATTAAATTTACTGATTTAATTTATACTTGTATTTTTTTAGCTTTTTCCAAATGATTTCAGAAATCTTCCGAATTTACATGCTTTAAAACATTTATCAGAACATGCAAAACGTTATGGAAGTTTTGTGAATATTTCTGTATCTTTAAAAGAAATGGTTCATAGACTATTTAAAAATCAAGTACCACATATGAATAAAAAGAACCTGGAATTGGACTTTATAAAGCGTGAAAATACTTTACAAGGTATTAGGTAATAATAATTTAATAAATTTAACGAGTAATTAATTCATAATATTTCATATTTATTATCTTATATTTTATATAGATTTATCTTTGATAATGGATTTGATGAGCATTATCAAAATACTCAATTTTCATCCATGTTACATAATCATAAACTTAAATTTTTATGTGATACATGGTATATTCTATCAGCTTCAATGAACGATGATATCAGCGAAGGTAAAATAATTAATATTTATAATTTGCTCGTTAAATGGTTTTATTACTTAATATTATATATGTATTATTTAGATCAAGTAACTATACATTCTCCGTTAAAAAACTATATTAATATTACAGTTAGTGGCAAATGGAGTTTACAAGAAATCAGAAAAGCGGGTTTTAATGGCAAAGATCTTGATGATAATATGAAGAGTGATTTGTATTGGGCGTATAGTTTTATTTCAAGAATGATGCCTTGATTATTAACACTAAAGTAATATTTTACCGTCAAGTTTTATTTGAAATATTAGATGATGATAGCTCTTTAAGAAGTACAGTGAAACTTCATGTCGGTGATATAGTTGATGTACCTGAAGTTTCTGGTGACAATGACGATGATAATGAAGAATGGTTTGCAAAAATTATTGCAATTATTATTCATAAAGATAATAATAATAACAATTGCATTTTTTTAATGTTTGATTGGTTTGAATATCTTAATTTTGATACTAATATATAGTGTCATTATTATAAATTACAAGAAAGAGAGAATTGGAAAAGGATTCATCCAATTACAATTATTTCGGGTCAGCCAAAGTTACATTTTATTTATAATTGCAACGAATCTTGTATAATAGGAAAACATGATGTAAATAATAGGATTTTTTATAGAAATGATTATTTATATACTACTGTATAATAATAATATAATAGTTTGCAAAGTAATCCTAATAAAATGATTATTAATAAATATTTTACAATCCTTATAAAATAATTAAAATTATCGTACTGGTCTTAAAATGCATATTAAGACCAGTATGATAATTTATATAAATAAGCATTTTATAACCATTATTATTTTTAATGGATTTTTGCTAAGTATTTGCAATTTCTTTTGTAATATTTGCTTTAGCCTGGAAGAAAATGTTGTAAAATAGGGCTGGATATTTATGGCATTTTCTGTCTTTCAATTACTTTGTCTGGGGGTAGCCTGACAATTTGTTGTTATCCGTCAGTCGTAGCAACTAGCATTTTTTTACAATATTATGATTTTAAGAAACAAACCACTTTCAAAAAAATTTAAAGAAAGAACTAACTTAAAAATATTATCATTTTTATTATTCTTTACAAAATCTCAGAATTATCTGCTCTAACTATTATCCTAAGGTTATGTATTAAATTTTAAGGATAAATCTAATTGTAACAGCCTGTTACGTGTCTTATTTGTAACAACCCCCAATTTTATCCAATTAAAATTTAAGATCAGGCGTAATGTAAACAAAAACAAAAGATCAGTCGTGTAACTAAGACAAAAGAATTTTTTAAAAAATTTCAAGAAACTGCTTATAACTTAAAATTTTGTCTATGAAACTGTCTTAAATACATTAAGTAAAAGTTTTCCAAATTAAATTTTGCATATAAAAATTTTATTTGTGAAACACATATTAAATTTATTATTAAAAAAAAATAAAAAAAGGATGTTACAAATAAGATATGTAACAGGCTGTTACAAATACATTTTTTCAAATTTTAAATATATTTTACAAAGAGTACATTTTATTAATCATGATTGTTTTATATATATATACAGTATATATATATATTTTAAAATTAAAAATGACGTATCCATCCACTCACATACGAAAAGAAAAGAATAAAAAAGAGAAGAAAAGAATAAAAAAAAAGGAAGAAAAGAAACATACTTCACTCACCCATAATAATCCACTAATAAAATTATTATTATTAATGTATAATAAATAATAAACATATATTACAATAAAAATATTTTTGTGATGTTAATTCAGTGTTAATATGATATCATTATGATGTAGTTACGATATTAAATAAATGTAAAACATTTTCTGTAATATTAATTCGATATTAATATGATATCAGTCAGTGAAAATGTCATTTCTCTTGCCAATCATTAATTAAAATAATTTTGTGTAATCATAATTGAATATATCACCACATAGCTAAAAAAAGAAATTTTTAATGCATACTCTATGGTTTCCCTTTCTTGGGAATTTACGACCATTCTATTCCTAAGTATTTTCTCCATAATATAAAGCTGATTCTCGGTAAGGCAATTTATCCATCTTTTATAGGAGTCATTTACATCTTCAAACGTTATTCAGTCAATATCCCTCTTTTCAAACTGCTTTCCAATAGCTTGGATTTTCCAGTATATATTCCCAATTGTAGTAGCATAATTTTTCCACCTCTTATATGCTTCTTGACGAACCTCCTGCCACCACACGCTATCTACCTTACTTGCTACAATAAGGTCAGTATCTGGAATCTTTGCAACAATACGTTCAACTATTTCTACTGGTAACTGGTCCAACATGATGTTATGTTACTTACCATATAGGCTATATTCAATTACCATATACTTATTACACACGGATAAAAAATATAGATTAAATTTACACAGGAACCTATATGGGAACTTATGCAAGAAGTTCTGCTAAGGTCTTTTCAGCATCATTCCAGGTAACTGCATTCTTTGGAATATCTTCTGATGCATATTCCTTAATTAAGTCATAATACAATACGAAGAGGGCCTCAAACTTAGGTAAGAGAGCTTGCTTATTCTTGTATGACTCATGAACTTTTGCTATCTTAGCGGCATATGCTTGATCTCTAGCATCCTTATCCTCTAAAAACAACTTTCTTGCCACGAACTTCACATATGATATAGGAGACTTTGCTGTTTTGATTCGATTGATATACCTTACATGATCCTGGACGAGATAGCTGGTTTTGCTGAACCCAGACATTAGTGCTATTATTACAATATCTTTTAAAACATTGATAATTTCAAGAACAGTTTTGTCAGATTCAAAATAATTGTTGCCAATGCTTCTAATGCCTGTAAATTCGGTATATGTTGACATGATTCCTTGTACTTTTTTGTACTTTGTAATAAATAGGAATCTTCAAATTGACTGTACATTCAAGTGAGAAAAAATATATGTTTACTGCAATAAGGGCAATGACAGATATTACCTAATATCAGTTTATTATAAGAGCTTACTTTCCCTCCCCAGGTAAGATATATTATATATGTAATTTCCTTATATATAGTATATATCACTGGTCAGAATAGTCCATTTCGGCAAAATTTTAAATTGCCGAATGTTGGACGAAATTTGGTCTGACCTTAGCCGATCAGTACCAAAAAAATCGGCAACTAATTTTATGGACGATTTGCAC